TTTCAAATTTAAACTGAACTATATTGACTGTGTTGACTATTTTATTCCAGTCCTTTTATAATTTTATCCTAATTAATTATTTGCATGTAATTAAAAACTATTTTTTAATGATGCCAAAGAAGTATAACTTCTCACGCGCGTACATAAGTACACGCACCCATTTTTTTTTTTGAGTTGCTTCATGCAACCATATAGAAATATCTTATACATATAAGATGACATACATTAAGTAAGTGTGTTTCTATGTAAGTGTAATTACCTATGCGACAAGAGATACAAAGAAAATAAACAGTAGTTAATTGAGTTTATCTTCTCAATGGTGCAATCCATACATATCTTAAAAGCTCTCATGGTGAAGAGAGTATCATATAAAGTCCCTCATAAAGTAAAAGAAATTAAATAACATAGTTAAGTATAAGTTACATTCCAATTTAGGACATACTGATTTATTAAACAAATTTGTTCTTAAATATTTGGAAAACTGACCCCACGTTTTGCAAATATAATTTCAATTGAAACAGAAATTTTCAGAATTATTTTACCCAAACTAATGGGTTCTAATTTGAGAAAAACAAATTAAAATACATACGTCCAACTTGCACCTGCTTTTTTTATAATTTCTTTGGATGAACATTTAGTATTTTGAATTAAAAAAGTTTTGAATAAATTGAAAATCGAAAAACAAAACAAACTCGTTCAACTTCTTAAAATAGTTATCTTGATAAGACGATATTATTCTAAAAAATTACAAATTTTTCAATAACCACTGGTCACAGATACCAACACCCCTGTATCAGTCGAAAGGAAATTTAATTTCGCATTATACTACGCCAGAAAAAATTCAGCATTTTATTTAAAAAAAGAAACTTATACCTGCTTGAATTTGTGAATATTGCATCGATTAGTATCATACTATTCATAATTTATGTGTCTATCTAACACCTACGAATGATAGGTACTTTCCTCCAGAAACCGAATATGAAAACCGCAAACCTCTAGGTCCTTACCTTTCTGAGATATTTAAAATAGGGCCAAACACTGCAAACGTCAAATTTTCCAAGAAACGTGAAATAACTCCAGAACGGTGCGACCCAGGTCTTATATATTTTAATAAATTGACATTGTTTTTTTATAGGGAATTCAAAAATGCAATAAAAAGTAAAGGGTTCCATTTAAAATGACGAAGTTACTGTGCTTTCCGGCATAATCGAAAACCGCCATATTTGAAAATATTTTTACGTTATTATACTTTTAACTCTATACAACTTTTATTTGAAACTTTTTCTCTATTTTGAAGTATACGTGTATATGAATGACCGATTTCGACTTAGTGACTCACCCTGTATAATACAATTACGTTATTTTTTAATTGTTTTCATACTTTATATAATTCAGTCTGGATATAAACAAATTTATTTTGCACAAAAATATATTTCATTTCAGAATATTTTTTAAATACAAAAAGTAGTAGTTTTAACTACAATTTAACTATTCGTATAAGTACATAAAATTAGCAAGTATTCATCTTTTATAACATAAAATATAAATAAACATTTTAATTATCCTAAGAAAAATAGAAATGATTCTTTATAAAGTTTCCTGAACTTAAAAGTTATTCTTATTACATCAAACATTATTAGTCGCCAAATCACCGAATGTTTTTAAAATATTGATACGATTTGTATGCATCATAACCATAAATTAATCCAACGATGGTGCCCATAAACTGTAATAGAAAAAAAATGTTTATATTTTGTGTTTCGTACATTTTCAAAATAGTTTGACGTTGGTATCTTCTGACTGTTATTGAAGTTTACACATAATTTAAGATTAAATAGCATTAACGCATTTAGCATTTCTTATATGTATAATTAACTGCAAACACTTAGTAATTAATACTATTAACAATTATTGATTGATTATATTATTTGTTACACTTGCTTCAGTAATTAGTAATTTTTTCGAAGGGATATTCCATATTTCATGAAGAAAATAGCAATAAACTGTGTTTATGTGCATGACGTTAATTTTTTAGACGATAAAATATCGTTTAAAAGACTTATTATACTTAATCAAAGAAAACTATCTTATTTACTGAAAAAGATTATTGAGCGGATGGCGTAGGTGTGATTTACCGTCTACCGCTGATAAGCCGTGCTTTTATTACAACGTTAACGATTTTAAATTAATTAACAACAAACAACATCTGATTGGTGTTATTAGTCGCAACACTGTTGCATCGGTTCAGGGTTGCTTTACAATTTCAAATTCCATTGGTTGTTGACAGGAAGCAATTTCTTAGAAGTTGTTGAATTAAACTAGACCATAAAAAATGATCTATCCATTACAAATAGCCAGATCGAATTTGGGTCTTCTGCCCTTTAAAAAGCTGTACCATAGACAAATTTTAAAATTGTTATATCATCTCGACTTGTAGAGACGTCAAGAATATTTTACTTCCTTAAAATTTGTATGAGACTAAAAGGGTACAGTATGCGATACTTTAATTTCATTTTCCTCAAAAAGTTTTGATGTTTACATGTTCATTTACATATACCTAAGATTTATATATTGTACTTAAGCAAAGCAAAAACTTTCGATTGAATAATACTGCTAAGGATCCAGCCAACACCCTGTACCTACGTTAACACGTTTGCTCGCTTTACTCTAATTTTAGACAATCTTTTATTTTCTATAATAAGTTCATTTACTTGCGACAAATACAATGTCAGCTTTCTTCAATCAAAAGCTGAACTTGTGTTGATTGCTCTCTTATTAGAAATACTGGAAAATGACCAAATATCGTTATCAAATTTATAGTTTTGCTTTGTTCTTTTGGAATAATTCCAAATGCCTGAATAATTTACAAACCATATATAAAACCCGAATTGTTAATTGCAATTAACTTATTAATTTTTTGGCTAATTACTCGCTCACAGAAAAGTTGAAGGTTCCTTTCGTACTAATCTGAGTCATTCTCTTTGTATAAAAATTACTTTCTATATAAACCTGTATAAATAAAAGATTTTACACTCAAAACCTAACAATACATTAAAGCAGGGTCGGCCTTAGCCACCGAGAAGTTCCGGGCGGGTAAACTTTTGCGAGGCCCTCGTCTTTGAGGAATTAGTTTTAATGATGATACTTGACGAGAAATTCAATGTTATTCATAAATAATTGGAAAAATTTAATAAAAGACAGCAAATTTGCGACTTTTTTAAGACTATTAAGAAATTCAAATAAGCATTAGTAGGTACTATTACTACGTAATAAGGTTACATTGTTGCAAGAGCGAGGCCCCGGGCGGTTGCCCTGCTCGCCACCCCCAAAGGCCGCCCCTCGATTAAAGGGATAATTCATGCGCAAAAATAATGATTGTCCAGGATAACTTAAAGTAAAAATATACTTAAGATTTACATATGCAGCTGTCATTGCTGGATAAACTTGAAAGAATGGAGTAGCTGAGTACAAAGGACTAAGTACTGTGTTGACTATAAATCCCAAGTAGGAACAGGCGCTAAGATAGCTGAGGGAAGCCACTGTATTAAATGCTGTTTCCTAAAAATGAAAATCAAAGCAAATTACTTATGATTAGTGATTCAGTTATGTATAAACTTACGAAAAGAGATTGCTTTATAAGCCCAACGGACTTTTCTGAAAATATGTAGCATATTAGCAGCAAAACTGTAGTAAACATAGACCAAGATACTGCCGTTAAAAACCCTTGATATGATGCTCCTATCAGGTATGAATTAGATCCGAAACTAACAGCTAGTGTTTGGCAAAATAAACCTGCGAACTATTATTTCTTAATTAATTAATGGAATTTTATTTTTATGAAACTTGATGAAACACATGGGCTAGCATTTGCTTTGGGAGGGAGGTAAAATAAAGGGAACTAAATACTATAAACCACTCGCGGGTGAACGCAGAAAATATTTGGTAGGAGGGTTCTTATATCATAAGGTAGTCAAGTCTTAAGATTGGTTTGACTCGCATCTCCCCTTCTTTCTATCCTGAGCTAATCTTCGCATTTCCCTAAAACTGGAACATCCCACATCATTAACTATTGTCCTAACATTCCACGCACCGACTCGTAAGGTATGAATCCGGGGACTACGTCTGGAGTGCTTTACCCCTGAGGACGCCATCATTTAATTTGTGTAGTTGTACGTTTGGTAAAGGTCTAGATGATGACCCCCACCCCCGAAGAGGATGGGGATGGGGGGGACCGAAGGAGGAGGTCTCCCCCACCACTGTACCATAAAAAGTTCATGGCGGTCTCACCCCCATAAAAAGTTAATAAATATGCCAATTTTTATACATTTCTAGGCATGTAAATATTTATATAGTCATTCTTAAACAATATTAAAAGGTAAAACTAATGGAAAAATATTGAGAAAGTTATATAAAACATTATTTAAATATCTTTATCAATAGGGTAGGT